ATGCCACGACTTTTGATATGCTGTTATTTTACTATATTAATACACTCTCAACTTTTGAATAAAAGTAACACACATTCTAGATACGCGTAATAAATATATTAAAATTGACATATTGTATTATGTTGCTAAGATGTACGTGCAATATTTAATTCGATTTAGTTAGACCGATAAAGCTTAAAAGAACAGTAAGGTTTTAAAATTAAAATTAATGTGTCTATGTGTCCAATTTTATGCTATCACACAAGTGATAATATTTTTATCGCAATTGACATTTATACAATTAGCTATCGCCATGTCAAAATTTTTATTGCAGACGAAATTGTATGGAGAAATTGTTAACAATGCTAATATCTTGAAGTAAAACTCATTGACAAGGTGATATCAAAAATAGAATATAGGTGCTAAAAATATGCGATGCGCGAATAGTATATATCGCGGTGCTATCAAAATATCGAAAACATTTTCACAAATGACACGTTGTTGTTCTGCATTCGCACGTGTTACGTCAAACCTCCCTCCACTTTCCTACCTATGTATTATTCTCATCTTTGGAACAATGCGCATGCAATCCTGCACGTGCAGTATCACGGTATGCATTTTATCGGACATGAACGACATTTCGCTTCCGCCAATTATTTCCAGTATCAATAGGCCGACGCTGTAATATCAGGGACTACCATTAAGTGGTGGACGCGGCCTCGCGAATTTTACGCGCGGTTCAATTTTATGCAACGTGTGCATTGTGTAGAACATCAATGTCGATCCTTTTGCTATCACTTGCTAAAAGTCACATGTTCGACCCAACTATGTAGTTGTAGTGATGGATAACGAATGAGTTTACCGATTAAGTCAGAACGACATGATAAACGGAGTAAGAGCGTATGCCATTTGTTAGGTTTATCGCGAAAGCTGGGATCGCAACGCCGAATCAGAGAAATAACACATGCGTCTTTATCTCGACTTTTTTGCGTGCTAATTCGTGCAACAGAGGTGTAACAGGGATCGCGCGGCTACATACGAGATTCTATTGTACACGCATGCCAGTTAGTCGCTTCGTCAATATCCCACAGTCGCAATTTATCACGTTGCATATAAAATGTGTGTGAAAAAATTAACATCATAAAATACACACACACACATTACTCGCAATTAATTTTGTCACCTTTGCTCAGTTATTCTTTTTTCAGAATCTTTCTATTCATCGCAAGAATGCCTTGCGCGCATTTAAAATATAAAATCCAAGCTGTAGGAAAAGGCAGTTAAATATCGATCCTTGGTTGTTACGCTGTCGCTATACTCCAGCCGTCACACTGCGGTATAAATATTACATGCGCCGGATGATAGACGCTGCCTGCTATTCCACTCGTGTCAGGAGTGCGTCGATGAACAACGATTACTTTCGCGAGCTATTCGTTTTTATAGTCCGCAAATAGCCCTTTTCATATCTATACGACCGCCGAATGGGCGTTACTAGGTTATAACGTCTGAGTTACTGTCGGAAATCACGGAATCTTTATTGACCTCGTCGCGGAGCTACGCTCGAGAGATTAAGGTGGGTCAAAGAGAAGATTTTAATTTCCTTTTGCTCATTGGATTTTGCTCCGCCAAACTTAATCCGCTCACGCTGATCCGAGAGAAGCGTCATTTTTTATCGCCGTGTGCTCACACCTTTATGACGACTCGAATGTTACCGAGAGGAAAAAAAAAACCTAATGGTGAAATATTGCGAAAAGCAATATCAGCAGCGATTTTTGTCCGCGTTGCGAAGAATATTGAAAGCTTGAATTGCACATAAAAAGGGCGAACTTTATCATTACGTGCATATCACACTATGGTGGTCACAATGGTGGTCATCTGTCTTAAGCCGAAAATCGCATAGCTTCATATGCAACGTGAATTCATCTAGAAAAATAATTTGCATTTATAAGCTTGTCATAATGGTAATTTTATGTTAGATCGATATTGGAAATTTAATAATCTTTTCACGTTACGTGAATTGAAGATGACGCATCGTTTTGTGATAGTTACTGGGTCTCTGCGCGAAAAACAAATTTAAAATATGACTCATAAAATATCTCTCAGCGAAAAAAAAGCTCCATTCAGATTGCCGATTGGAACTCTGGCGAATATTTCATAGAGATTTTGTCGCAACGAATTGCTGCTACGGTTAATTTACGGCTTCAAACCGAATTTCGCGCTAACGTATGAACCAACCGGACGCTAGTTTCGAGAGTTTACCGATGACCAAGTATACAATCGTGCATGACGCAATTGTCTAATTGCGTGACGTCGCATTGCGGGAGACGCACGTATCATCGCGAGATCTCTCTCAAGAAATCAATTGTCCAGATGATTATCTCAAAGCTACTATAAGCGCGATTCATCTTGCATAGCTATATCACTTTCAAGGTAACATGGACGCGACACGAAATAAAGCTCTGCAGTTTCTATAATTCAAAGTATTTCGACAAATGTCAGAGTTGATTCACAAATACAACAAGGTTAGTCACTATATAATTTACTATTTATTTGTCATATCACATTTCAACTGCTTTCATTCATTACGTTTATTTATCAATTATAAACAAACTCAAATTTGAATTACGCGGACAAGAGAAAAGGCTTTTACAATCCGAATCTGTCTCGTACGAATCAAGCTCGTATCTCTAAGAAATGTGCACTGCAAGCTTCGATGCGGCTCTTGCAGCGCGTGTGACGGTCGTAAATGCAACGACGTTCGCATGTCGAGCGAAATCGGTTTACAGCGTATCAGCGTGACTGATAATATAA